TCTTGCCATGTTGCCCATGCAGGTCTTGAACTCCTTGAACTCAAGTGATCCTCCCTCCTTAGCCTCCCAAAGTGTTGGGATAATAGGCATGAGCCACTGTGCTCTGTCTAAACAAGCTGTTTAATTACAGTGTTTTAGATGCTAGGAGGGAAAAGTATGTTCAAACAGTGAAAGCAAACAGCACACTCTGTGAGGGAGGATTTTCTGGTTTTGAATCTACATTCATGGTCCTGTCCTATTAAAATCAGACCCTTGCCAGCCATGGAACTTTAATCTGTGTGCCATGGGTATTTAATCTAGATTTAGAGGATGAGAATGATAGAGAGGTACCCTTGATGTCATGACCTGCCTTACATTATCCCAAGTCACAGCCAGTTACTACCATGGGACTGTGATGTTTCAACAGTTCTTCAAACCTTTCACAGAAATGTACTTACCTGGATGAGCAGGGCATTTATCAGCATCATCTCTCACCTGGTTGAACCTGGAATCAACTTCGCAACGATCCCTTCCTTCTCTTGGGCATCTCTCTTAGAAACTGCTCGACCAGGTGGTGAAGACATTTGTGTGGTCAGAGTTTTACAAGCAGTTTCACTCCGCGGTGGGAGCCTCTAAAGATGCTCTCAAGGCCATTAGTAGTTTGTTCAGAGCTGTAGGATCCAGGTCTCTTTAGAGTCGGGGAATCGATGGTGACCTCCCTACCATTTTCTCCCCTTTCTCGGTAGGTATGTGTCTGATTTCACCAGCACTCTCCAGTCCATACGAAAGAAGTGCAAACTGGACGACATTCCTCCCAACTCCCTCTTCCAGGAAGATTGGACGGCTTTTCAGAACTCCATTAGGTAAACTGGGGATTGTAATTCACGCTGTTCCTAACGTAGTCAGCATAAACACGCATGATATAGTATATAAAAATGGCAAATGTGTTTGGAAGTGTTTCATTTTTTTTTCTTTCACTGCCTTTTTAAAAAGCAAATGGTCGGGGGTGGGGAGTTGGGGAGAGATAGCATGGGGAGAAATGCCACATATAGGTGAAGGGGAGGAAGGCAGCAAATCACACTGCCATGTGTGTACCTAGGCAACAATCTTGCATGTTCTTCACATGTACCCCAAAACCTAAAATACAATAAAAAAAAAGAATACAAGCAAAAAAAAAAAAAAAAAGCAAATAGTCTAGACTCTAAACACAAACCAATAAATAAAAACCCATCCCAAACCGACCAACAAAAAGACCCCTCCGGCTCTTAAAATATTTTTTAAAGTTCTTTACAAATGCCTCACCATGTTTAATGACTTAATTTTTTTATATTTGGTGTGAGATTTTTTTTTACCTGCCCCCATCCCACGCCAACCTATAGTTTTTATAGAGCTAAAATAACTTAGGGCTTATTTATGTATTAGAAAATACACAGGTGATTGGATTCTGTTTCTGGATCTAAGAACCATGATACATGGCTCTAAATGGTTCCAGGCAACGCTATTCGGGCTGGAAAGGGCCATTAAGAGTTCAGTGAAAGGGCTGGGCATGGTGGCTCAGGCCTTTAATCCTAGCACTTTGGCCGAGGCGGGTGGATCACTTGAGGTCAGTAGTCTGAGACCAACCTGGCCAGCATGGT